AATGGTTGTAGATGTCAGGTCCTCAGCCCCCAATGGCTTCACTGCCCCAACGCTGCTGGTCGATGATACCTGCTAATATAGACAGAGCTTCTATGCCCAGAGATAATCAAAGGTGGACTGACTTTAAATACCTAAGAGATTGCAGGGAGCAAGTTAAAAAAGTCTGGCTATTACTGACAGCTGGTTATTTTCTGCAAGAGCTACAATATAAAACTAGATAACCACCATCTCCTAGGTTCTGAAAATGAAGATTTCTCTTTTACATTATTGAAAAATAGAACTTAAACCATTATCAAAGCAAGATCCATCACTCCTCTGTTTAGGAATAAGAGCTGACTGGAATTTAGTAGGGTTTATTACTTACCAGCCTGTCCTCAGATTACAACAGTGGTAACTGCAGTCAGGGGATATTAACAACCCAACCTGAGACAGCGTAAAATCTTTTATACCCCTTACCAAGATATAAAGATCAGTTACTTACCACCACCCCTGGGTTTTCACGCTGGCATAAAAAGTGGCAGACTGTAAAGCTACAGGGAACCACCTTTAACAACAAAGCCATTTAAGAGCTGGAAGTAGGCATTGTCACAGCACTGTTTTAAGAACCAATAAACCAAAAAGATTAAATAAAAATCTAGCATCACCAAAGCTGGTGCATCACCCCAGTGTCTGGAACAGATCTTAGCAACAACTTGCTTCTATGGCAAACACAGTCCGTCTCAAAAGGTGTAAGGATGAGGCATCCTGAACTGTGGCGTCAGTCTCCTTCCACGACACAAACTGCTGAGCAATTGCAACGCCGCTTCAGAATGGTGGACATGGATTAATTACAGCAGTTATAACTCATCAGGGAAATATCGTGCCAGTTTGCTCATCATTTCATCTCTGACTTTGTAAGCGATGACAAGATAATTTAAACAGTCACAAAGCTTAGAGTAATACATACTTTTATCAATCCCTCACTGTCCTGTCGACAATTTATGGTCACACCCCTGAACATTAAAAATCACAGCATTTTGGCAACGGTACCATGTGAAACCACTCTTGTGGGCTTTTACTAATGGCAGCACCATTTGCCCCTACTGCAATGCTTGTTTAAAAAAAACCCAAAAAACAAAAACAGGTCATTACAAGGTAATTAAAACTGCTCATTCTGTCAGCGCGAAAAAGACAACAGGCTTTTCCCCGCGGAAAAAGCATACAGTCATACCAGCTTTTCCCTGGCCCCTAACACCCCAAAACCGTAGCAGCACCTTGCTGTTCTAGTTCTACCCCTTCAGGTGTGCGGGAGGCACTCACCACCTCTTCCTACGGAGGCAAGTCCCCGCACAGCAGATTTACGGCAGGTATGCTGACATAAGGATTAGGAGAATTCAGTCACACCAACTGAACAGTCCGTCGTTTCAAACCAGCGCATGGCTAACGAGCAGAGAGCAAAGCACAAAGAGCACTGAGCGTATCTTTCACTGCACTTCTCCAAATTCACCAACGAGCTTTGCTGTCCTTCTCCTTTAAAGCCAGCCCAAGCTCTGGTGTGCATGAACTTCAGCCGTCTCCACGGGCTGGCCAGCTGGGAGCGGAACTGCTCAATAGCTTTCCTGGCCGAGTCATCTATGCTGCAAGATCTCCTAGTTCTCTTACTCCTTTTGGTGTGATTCCTGCCAACGCATCAGGTCTGATTTTCCACTGTGGCTTCTTGTATTTTACTCCTGGACATGACACAAGGCATTAAACCACACTTAGCAACTCAGTTTTACTTGATTCGGAACTGCCCTCCAAACGCTGCAAGTGAAGGTCAGTCCTTTATTTGCCAAGATCCCACCACAACAGTCACAGGGACAGGGTTGGCAGTGGATTTGAGAAAACACAGGAGTTGAGTTACTCCTATGTGTGGCAGCAGCAGCTTTCTCGTTTGCCAAATGAAACATCTGCAGTGCTTACAATCAGAATTTTATTATGCTTAACAAATTAATACCAAGAGAAACAATTTAATATTGAGAGACTATATTAGCTGTCAGCAATGTTATCAATATTACCAGTAGCTCTGAAACAAATGAAGCTGCTGCCCAGCAAGGCCAGATTGCTAATTAGCAGGTCCCAAAGGCAGCTGGTTACTGTTAAAGGCAGTAGGGTGAAGAGGCTGGGCAGAACCTCTGGTTCTCTTTGTCCAGCTGCCAAAGTTTTAGTCATTAAGTGCACAGAGATTCCTGACATCAAAATGAGTCAAGTCTCCCCTCAGGTCATATACAGCACAGCACTTTCAGAGGCTGAAGAAGTTCGTAGCTTTCAAATCTTGATACCTGATGCTAGGTTTGAAATTGTAATTTCTACAGGTATTGGGAACCTGTGTGTTCTACAGAGTAACTGAACTCACAGCACTCAGACACACTGAAGACATTTTCATTCAGGTAAATCTCTAAAAGCCTCTTTTTAAAATGTTTCACTGAAATTAAAATGTTCATTTGAAAATGCTGAGCTTAGTGTAAATTCTACGGTGTCTTCCGTGGTCTGAACAGTTTACGTGGAATGAAACTTTATTTCACTCAGTGATAACTTCAGTAAATAGTTTCCTCAAATAAAACTTATTTTTGTGGCTATCTAATAATTATTAGACACAACATATGCATCTGAGTTCTTAAAAATCAGTATTTTTAACTGACTGTTAATCTATTAGCTCTGCTTGCATGATAGAAATTAAGGATTTTCAAAAGTATCACAATGTTCCCCTGGAATAGGCAAATAAACAAACAGGCCCTTCTCAAAATGAGTCTCCATTTAAGAGTCCAGAACTAATAACATACCAGCCAGTTTATAACCCTTATTTAATTTCAGCTGTTCAGGAAGATGATATTTAAGCACAAAAATACTGTCTTTCAAAAGTCAGCGTTTGCTCCTGAGTGTTACAATAAAGCAGTATGCAAAAAGTGTCAACAACAATCAAAAATCAAAGATGACTTATTCTAGAAATATATTTTTAATGCCAATCAACTTCTTCTGTTTGGTCAGAACACTTCATTTTTAACATACTTCTGCTTTTGTACCTCCAGCAATTTAAAACATATATATACATATATGATTTTAACAGATACGTAGTAAAACAGCAGAAAAAATGTGACAGGAAATTTACAAATGCTAATTTTTTTATTCTGCAATAATGAATAGCACTATTGCACGCGTTTCCTTTCTGCAGTGGGAATTTAAAAGTCTGTAGTGAATGCAATAAATATGTCAGTGGAGAGCAGAGAGCTGTTCAAAATCATGTGCAGACACAGTCTCTTGGCAGAAATCCGCTTCCTTCAGCATCTGCAGTTCTCACTGTGCAATACGGTGAAACACAAGCGTTCCACAACAGAGACAGATACCAACACGAGTTTGCAAGAGCCTCTTCAGATGGTTTCCTCCACCTCCTTTCAACACTAACACAACACAGAATAAAATAAGGTGCAGCTTTCTGACCAGGAACACTCACTGAGTCTCTAAAATGCCCCGCGGTCTGCTGACACAGACCTGTGTCTTCTGACACAAGCACCACTGCTGTCAGGCAGCCAGAAGCCCCATCAGACTGCGACATGTCCTGGGGCTTGGCCATCTCAAGCTTATGTGTTCGTTCCCTGTCAGGCAGCCTCAGGGAAAGCAGCCCCGCAGGGAAACCAGGCAGCTGTGGGTGTAGGCCAGTACTTCTCGAGGAAGTAGAAATTCAGCTTACCGAGAAACAGCTAACATAAACTGCAGATTAGGGTCAGATTTTGCTGTCCTCCAGCAGGCCCAGAAGTACTCTGACGGAACGAAAATAAAAATTGGCAGCACAGTGTGAAATGAATCCTTTTGGCTGACCATGTAACTGACAGTAAGCTGAGTGGACTGTTGTAGCTCTGCATGCAGAGAGTATAAACCGGTACTCCCAGCCTTCCGCCCCCTTCGCTGCCATTCCACTGCAGCCTCACAAGGAGGATTTGGGTTTAAAGAAAATGTGTTGTAGCTGCCTCCTATGTCCTGCTATGATTTCTTGGTGTTCTGCCTTCCTTTACTGGCTCCTATTGAGAGTCAACATTGGAAACTAAGGAACAAGGGACTGGGTAATGCTGTATGTTGGGACCCAAATCGTGACCTACAGGATACATCAGCAGAGTAGACAAGAAGTGAGAACTCGAATAAATCCTAATGAGAACAGTACTGGGATGGAGTAGTATCTTCTTCCTTTTAGTTTTGGGAGACAGTTTGTTCAATATATCAATAATTTGCCATGGAAGATAAAGGAAGTCTATTCAGTCCTAGTCCTAAAGAGGGTGGAGACAGTTCTGCCAAACTTATAGCTGCAGGGGACTCTTAAGTAATGGCTCATCACAAACAAAAATTCTTCCACAAACTTTAGTGTTCACGCTCAACACTGTGAAACACTGGAACATAAGCAATTCACTAAGGAGAGCCTTAGCCTCTTGGGATATACAGATGCTTCCAAGTTTCTTTGCCTTGATGTGGCATGTCATGGACCACCATTCTATTGCACATGAAACTCAATCTTCTGCCCCCTTGCCCTTGCCAGCAACACACTAGAAAGCAACCTCTTTTCTTCTCAGTTTTTCTTATGTCCCCCGTGTCTTGATGCAAAAAATGGAACTTGGACAAATAAACAGATTGCTCTAAAGATAGGATTCAGGGGGTAGCCTTCAATTCAATAAGGAAAGGATATAGAAAGTTTGCAACTACTATTTTAGTCTCTAAATTAGAACACTGGTCCTTTTGTGAAGAATCTGAAACATCTGTGCAAATAAACATAAGCAGGACAAAACTGTTCCTCCCCCAAAATTGTCTCCTCCCACAACATCCCGTTTTTTTCAGATGTAATAATCACCTTCCCTGTGTGCATGCACTCTGGTTAGTCACCCTGCATGTGATGGATAAAGGTGTAACTCCTAGGCTGAAGTAGTATAGAGATGCCACCCCAAGATGCATTACCCAAGGAAAATATGGTATTTGAGGGGGTGGTACTTGCTACTTACGCTGTGCACGCCCAGAGCCTTCCAGATGGCAAAACTTAGCAACCCAACCCCGCACCATGCGTAGAGGGAGCCCCATCCTAGGGCTCGTAAGGCCAGTGATGAACCACTCTCTGGTAATGCAGCTGTGGCAGTAATCCCCTAGAACCAAAAATAAAGTGATCAAGACAAAGTGAACAATAATTGGAAACAAATATGAACTAAAAGAAGTTAACTTGGTGATCTAGAATTTTTCCTGACTTGCCAGCTGTACTAGTGTGGCCACAGAAACTGCTAAGGCTGCCAGCAGACCCAAAGAGCACAGGGGTGGATGAGCTGCCTTCCCACCAGCAGCAGCTTTCATGGTTGCCACTACCACCTGGGGATGATTTTTATTACCCAGAAATGCTGAAGTCAACTGTGGGCACAGGAATCCGACACTCAGTTATCCCACCAGTCAAAAAACAAACTGGAATCAAAACCAGTCACAAGCCGTTATGCCAGTGACATCAGAACATAATCACCGTACGTCACTGATTTTGGTACTTTTTCCTGGGGGGTATGGGTGGGGGGCAACCACTGGCCTACAGGTCTTTGTCTGCCCTCCTGAAACAGCAGATTAGGAAACTGGAGGAACCTGAGCAGCTTTCAGCTTGACACAGAGAGGGTATAACAGTGACTTGAGAGACTAATTTTGAGGAGCTGCAACTCTGAAGGAGCTCTGGAAACCATTTAAGAAAATTTGTGAAAAGTAAAACACAACACTGAACCTATCCTCCTGCAGAGTTCACCAAGTGGCAACATAGAAAATGCTCTGCAGTCTCCCCACTTCTCATTTTTGTCAGAAACAAGAGTAGGCAGTTTTAACCACTTGTTAAGATACTGCTGTGCAAAAGTCTGCCATGAGACGTGTTCTGAAAACACAAAACACTGTCGCTTGGAAAAGCCACCTCAGGCCAAGAAGAACGGAGCCTCAACCATGATGGGGTCCCAAGCACGACGAAACCTTCTCTGTGGCAGCACATAAATGCATATTGCAGCTACCAACGGCACAAGCCACACGTTGGCTGACACCAGTCAATTCGCACCGCACGTCCACCGTTAGCCAGCTGTTCTTATCTTGCAACACCCACCTTACTGCACGTATTTGGCATGGGACAGCTTCAACCTGTGTGCAACAGCAGTCGGACACACATAATCCTCCTGCTCGTAGTGGTAAATGTCAGCAGGAGGGTTTGGTGTTTTTTCCCCAAAGGATTGCTGTTCAATTCTTCACATGGAAACATAGATTTCAGATGGTAAAGACTGGCATCTACGGTCCTTACACAACTGAGCAGTCCTACTTACTTACTGTGTATCTTGGGAAAACAATTATTGCTCACAGGTAAACATAAATGAGAGTGCAAGCATATAAATATATTCAATAATTAATTATTTCCTTTATAGTCTTAAATATAATAATAATATATCTCGGGGCAGTTTACACGGCACCGGGCCTCCTC